CTCCTCTCTGTCACGGATTCACAATCACCGCCACCAACAGGCGACAATCGCATGACCGCGACTAACAGTAATACGTCACGCCCACGGCGTCAGACCCCAGACCTTCTCACCAAACTCGTGACCAAAGGACCGGCCGATCTAAAACCGCGGTGGTGTGACACGCGTAACAAGGCCACACTCAGCCGCACCCAGCACAGCGATTGCCAGCTAATGGCAGCTAATGGACTACAATCGGTGCCTGCAGCCTAAATGCGCTTGTTACTGGGTTGGGTTAATTACGCAAGACAATACTTACAAAGAGATGTCACAAAAATATATATATATGTATATAAAGACACAGCAAAGAGATAATTAGGAAGAAGATTACAGGGTTAAGTTACTTGCCCATATGCCTGAGTTTGCAGATACAAGTTGTAGAACAGGGTGATTTCTTGATCTCCTTTTGTTACGATGTTGCTGGGAGATCTCTGTGTGTGTCAAGCTCTAACTCACTTGTCTCTTCTTAAAAGTCCCTCTCAAAGGGGAGGGGGGCTCTCTTACTACACGTTTTGGGAGTGGTCAGTGGGAAACTGAATTAAACTACAGCTTCATAATACATGACATGAAACATATGGTTGACCTGAGGAATGTGCGATTACTCTGGTCAGTTTGATAATGTGTGGGCTTACATAGTTTTGGGTGACAAAAGTTACACTTCAGCAGACGGCCTGGCTCTAATCTCAATGTCTTAGCCTGGTTGTCCCACACCATCTGTCAAGAGATAACCTTTGCCTCACAGGAATGCAGGGGGGATGTGAGGAATGATTCGAGGAATACCTCAAATACAGCAAGTTGAAGGAGAACTCCGCTCCAACTCGGATGAGCTAGTTTTGTTACACTCTCCTCCACAATGAACCGCTCACAGCAGATGAAGAAATGCTGATGATCCTGATGGGGTTGCGGATATTATCCACAAGAGGACAATTAAAGTATCTGGCCGAACATGCCAGCAAGCATGGAGTCTCTGAGGATGGTAGTATCAGTTAGGTAAGTTGCGGAAGACATCCTAGATAATGGGGGAGCATTGAGGTATCGGCAGACGGGTTTTAGTCTTGGATCCCACCGGAGTCCACAATTTGTTAGGTGTGGTAGACGCCCTCGGTTTGGGTAAGGGGAGTGCCAGAGCCTCATCCGGGAGTGGCGGTAGACCCAGGTTTTGTAGGAAGGCTTCTCCCTCTTGGAGATCCCTAATGGTGTGTGTCAGGGCTCCCAGGTATGACCAGAGGTGTGTGACTGAAGCAGGGAAACGCAGACTTCAGATATGTGATTAACAATGTAATTTATTAACACTAACAATACAAACATAAACGCAGTGCAATACTAAACATAATACAGTGCAAACAAACCCAACCAACCACCCACAGATAACAGTACATACAAGCAAGCGTCGTCAGGCAGGCCGAGTCAATATCAATTGGGCAGGTAGGTACAGGGGGAGCAAGCGGAGAATGGTCGGGGTCACAGGCCAGGTTCAGCAGGTAGCAAGCAGCGTAGTACAGAGGGTCAGGCAGAGGGATGGTCAGGGTCACAAGCCAGGGATCAGAACAGGTAGCAAGCAGCGTAGTACAGAGGGTCAGGCAGAGGGATGGTCAGGGTCACAAGCCAGGGATCAGAACAGGTAGCAAAGGAACAGAAACAGGATGCAGGACAGATACAGGGCCCAGGACAAACACAACACCAAGGCAGAGTCTGCAAGTCTGGCCATCCCTTAAATACACCAGTATCATCAGTTCCAGGTGTTAGCTGGCTGAAAGGTTGAGTCTCTGATTGCTGGGAGCACCCGCTGGCCAGCCCTGGTACTGCAGATCAAAAGGCAGGTGAGTCCCACCATTGCTGGCCAGTCCATTCCTGACAGTACCCCCCCCTCAAGGAGCGGCCTCAGGACGCTCCAAACAGTCCTAGCTGGGAAAAATGTTCCACCGCCCGGGTCTGGTAACTGGCGGGATATCAAAGACTGGCACACCGGGCAGGACTCCGGGCAGCGGTACAACGGGCAGAGGCACATCGGGCTGGACTCCGGGCAGAGGCACATCGGGCTGGACTCCGGGCAGAGGCACATCGGGCTGGACTCCGGGCAGAGGCACATCGGGCTGGACTCCGGGCAGAGGCACACCGGGCAGAGGCACATCGGGCTGGACTCCGGGCAGAGGCACATCGGGCAGGACCCCGGGCAGAGGCACATCGGGCAGGACCCCGGGCAGAGGCACATCGGGCTGGACCCCGGGCAGAGGCACATCGGGCTGGACTCCGGGCAGAGGCACACCGGGCAGAGCCACACCGGGCAGAGGCACATCGGGCTGGACTCCGGGCAGAGGCACATCGGGCTGGACTCCGGGCAGAGGCACATCGGGCTGGACTCCGGGCAGAGGCACATCGGGCTGGACTCCGGGCAGAGGCACATCGGGCTGGACTCCGGGCAGAGGCACATCGGGCTGGACTCCGGGCAGAGGCACACCGGGCAGAGGCACATCGGGCTGGACTCCGGGCAGAGGCACATCGGGCAGGACCCCGGGCAGAGGCACATCGGGCAGGACCCCGGGCAGAGGCACATCGGGCAGGACCCCGGGCAGAGGCACATCGGGCAGGACCCCGGGCAGAGGCACATCGGGCAGGACCCCGGGCAGAGGCACATCGGGCAGGACCCCGGGCAGAGGCACATCGGGCAGGACCCCGGGCGGAGCGGCAGGCACCGGCCCCCCGGACGGGGCGGCAGGCACCGGGCCCCCGGGCGGGGCGGCAGGCACCGGGCCCCCGGGCGGGGCGGCAGGCCTCGGGCCTCTGGGCGGGGCGACAGGCATCGGGCCCCCCGGGCGGGGCGGCAGGCATCGGGCCCCCAGGCGGGGCGGGGCGGCGGGCGCCGGGCCCCCAGGCGGGAACTACAGGTCTCGGGCCCCCGGGCGGGGCGGCAGGCCTCGGGCCCCCGGGCGGAACTACAGGTCTCGGGCCCTCAGGCGGAGCGGCGGGTGCCGGTCCCCCAGATGGAGCGACGGGGCATCGGGCCCCCAGGCGGGGCGACGGGCATCGGGCCCCAAGCGGGGCGACGGGCATCGGGCCCCAAGCGGGGCGACGGGCATCGGGCCCCCAGGCGGGGCGACGGGCATCGGGCCCCCAGGTGGGGCGACGGGCGGCGGCGGGCCCCCAGGCGGAACTACAGGTCTCGGGCCCTCAGGCAGAGCGGCGGGCGCCGGGCCCCCGGGCGGGGCGACAGGCCTCGGGCCCCCCGGGCGGGGCGACAGGCCTCGGGCCCCCGGGCGGGGCGACAGGCCTCGGGCCCCCGGGCGGGGCGACAGGCCTCGGGCCCCCGGGCGGGGCGACAGGCCTCGGGCCCCCGGGCGGGGCGACAGGCCTCGGGCCCCCAGGCGGGGCGACAGGCCTCGGGCCCCCAGGCGGAACTACAGGCCTCGGGGGCCCTCAGGCGGAGCACATCGGGCAGGACCCCGGGCGGAGCGGCAGGCACCGGGCCCCCGGACGGGGCGGCAGGCACCGGGCCCCCGGGCGGGGCGGCAGGCACCGGGCCCCCGGGGGGGGGCGGCAGGCCTCGGGCCTCTGGGCGGGGCGACAGGCATCGGGCCCCGGGCGGGGCGACAGGCATCGGGCCACCCCCCAGGCGGGGCGGGGCGGCGGGCGCCGGGCCCCCAGGCGGAACTACAGGTCTCGGGCCCCCGGGCGGGGCGGCAGGCCTCGGGCCCCCGGGCGGAACTACAGGTCTCGGGCCCTCAGGCGGAGCGGCGGGTGCCGGTCCCCCAGATGGAGCGACGGGCATCGGGCCCCCAGGCGGGGCGACGGGCATCGGGCCCCAAGCGGGGCGACGGGCATCGGGCCCCAAGCGGGGCGACGGGCATCGGGCCCCCAGGCGGGGCGACGGGCATCGGGCCCCCAGGTGGGGGCGACGGGCGGCGGGCCCCCAGGCGGAACTACAGGTCTCGGGCCCTCAGGCAGAGCGGCGGGCGCCGGGCCCCCGGGCGGGGCGACAGGCCTCGGGCCCCCGGGCGGGGCGACAGGCCTCGGCCCCCCGGGCGGGGCGACAGGCCTCGGGCCCCCGGGCGGGGCGACAGGCCTCGGGCCCCCGGGCGGAACTACAGGCCTCGGGCCCTCAGGCGGAGCGGCGGGTGCCCGGACCCCCAGATGGAGCGACAGGCCTCGGGCCCCCAGGCGGGGCGACAGGCATCGGGCCCCCAGGCGGGGCGACAGGCATCGGGCCCCCAGGCGGGGCGACAGGCATCGGGCCCCCAGGCGGGGCGACAGGCATCGGGCCCCCAGGCGGGGCGGCGGGCGCCGGGCCCCCAGGCGGGGCGACAGGCATCGGGCCCCCAGGCGGGGCGGCGGGCGCCGGGCCCTCAGGCGGAACTACAGGTCTCGGGCCCTCAGGCGGAGCGGCGGGCGCCGGACCCCCGGGTGGAGCGACAGGTCTCGGGCCCTCAGGCGGAGCGGCGGGCGCCGGACCCCCAGGTGGAGCAACAGGTCTCGGGCCCCCAGGCGGAGCGACAGGTCTCGGGCCCCCAGGCGGAGCGACAGGTCTCGGGCCCCCCAGGCGGAGCGACAGGTCTCGGGCCCCCAGGCGGAGCGACAGGTCTCGGGCCCTCAGGCGGAGCGGCGGGGGGCGCCGGACCCCCAGGTGGAGCGACAGGTCTCGGGCCCTCAGGCGGAGCGGCGGGCGCCGGACCCCCAGGTGGAGCGACGGGTCTCGGGCCCTCTCAGGCGGAGCGGCGGGCGCCGGACCCCCAGGTGGAGCGACAGGTCTCGGGCCCTCAGGCGGAGCGGCGGGCGCCGGACCCCCAGGTGGAGCGACAGGTCTCGGGCCCTCAGGCGGAGCGGCGGGCGCGCCGGACCCCCAGGCGGTGCGACAGGTCTCGGGCCCTCAGGCGGAGCGACAGGTCTCGGGCCCCCCCAGGCGGGGCGCGGGTGCCGGACCCCCAGGTGGAGCGGGCGGGCGCTGGACCCCCAGGCGGAGCGACAGGTCTCGGGCCCCCAGGCGGAGCAGCGGGCACCGAGTCACCAGGCACGACAGTGGGCTCCGAGTCAACTGGCATGACCGCTGGCACTAGGTCAGACATTGGATCGTCTGGCTGGACAGCGGGCATCGGGGTCACCAGGCATCAGGTCATTTGGCTCGACAGCGGGCACCGCGTCATCTGGCAAGGCAGTGGGCTCCGAGTCAACTGGTATGACCGCGGGCACTGGGTCAGACATTGGATCGTCTGACTGGACAGCGGGCATCGGGTCACCAGGCATCAAGTCATTTGGCTTGACAGCGAGCACCGCGTCATCTGGCAAGGCAGTGGGTTCCGAGTCAACTGGCATGACCGCGGGCACTGGGGCAGACATTGAATCGTCTGGCTGGACAGCGGGCATCGGGTCACCAGGCATCAGGTCATTTGGCTTGCCAGCGGGCACCGCGTCATCTGGCAAGGCAGTGGGCACCGGGTCACCAGGCATTGGATCGTCTGGCTCGACAGCGGGCATCGGGTCACCAGGTATGACAGCGGGCACTGGGTCACCAGGCATCAGGTCATTTGGCTCGCCAGCGGGCACCGCGTCATCTGGCAAGGCAGTGGGCACCGAGTCACCAGGTACGACAGCGGGCACCGGATCAGGTACCGGATCATCTGGATCAACAGCGAGCATCGAGTCAACTGGCCTAATAGGATCGTCAGGCTGGATCAGTTCATCATGCTGGGTAGAGGCTTCAGGCGAATGCCGGCGTCCGGCTGAGTAGAGGCTTCAGGCCGAGTAGAGGCTTCAGGCCGAGTAAGAGGCTTCAGGCCGAGTAGAGGCTTCAGGCCGAGTAGTAGAGGCTTCAGGCCGAGTAGAGGCTTCAGGCCGAGTAGAGGCATCAGGCCGAGTAGAGGCATCAGGCCGAGTAGAGGCATCAGGCCGAGTAGAGGCTTCAGGCCGAGTAGAGGCTTCAGGCCGAGTAGAGGCTTCAGGCCGAGTAGAGGCATCAGGCCGAGTAGAGGCATCAGGCCGAGTAGAGGCATCAGGCTGAGTCACGGAAGGCAGGTTGAGTACAGGCATCAGGCTGAAGAGAGGCATCAGGTCAGGCATCAGGCTGAAGAGAGGCATCAGGCTGAAGAGAGGCATCAGGCTGAAGAGAGGCATCAGGCTGAAGAGAGGCATCAGGCTGAAGAGAGGCATCAGGCTGAAGTAGAGGCATCAGGCTGAGTAGAGGCTTCAGGCTGAGTAGAGGCTTCAGGCTGAGTAGAGGCTTCAGGCTGAGTAGAGGCTTCAGGCTGAGTCACGGAAGGCAGGTTCACCGGTTTGGATACTGGCAGGATGGTATTGGTTGGAAAGAATTTTCGCTTTTTTCTGGTTTTAACTACTGGAGCACTGCAAGTAAACGCAGGTCTGCAAACGAATGGAGCAGCTGGAGACAGAGAAGAACTGGAGGATGGAACAGGAAAGGGAGCAGTTGCTACAGAGGGCTTTTTTACAGGGTTAAAGGCAGGATAGGTGCAGCGAGTGGGAACAGGGTACTGACATGCGGTAGATAGCCAAGTATACTGGGCTGTAACTGGAGGAGCTGTTGGGAATACAGGAGTAGAGTTAGAAGCAGGACTGGGTTTTTGTAAGCTGACTGAGGCTGGGTGCAACAAGTCTGTCCATGTCTGCAGTATGGGTTGAACAAAGCTGAGCTTACACAAAGCCTGTCTGGTCAATGACTGCACTGCGTTTATACAATCTCTTAGTGTCTGTGGTGAACATGTGGAATAACGCTCCAGAAAGTAACCCACATCATCCTCTAATAACCACACCAGGGACTCTACCTGGTCTGCACTAAATGGTGGCAAAAATTCATCCCTGCATTCGGGGGAACCAGATGAAACCAACTCAGCACAAACCTCAATCAATGGCTGCACCTCAGAGAACTCTGTGCCCTGATCTACTAGAACATGAGCGAGCCGTATACATTCTAGTAGTTGATCCCGGGGATACTCCTTCAGAGTTTGATAAGCATACTCCCTGTCATCAAACACTAGCAGATATAAATACGCAACCTCATCCAGATCCATCCTTCCCATCAACAAGCCAAGATGGCTTCCCTGTGCAGCCACTTCTGGTCAGGATTGGCCTTGGTGTAATGTCAGGGCTCCCAGGTATGACCAGAGGTGTGTGACTGAAGCAGGGAAACGCAGACTTCAGATATGTGATTAACAATGTAATTTATTAACACTAACAATACAAACATAAACGCAGTGCAATACTAAACATAATACAGTGCAAACAAACCCAACCAACCACCCACAGATAACAGTACATACAAGCAAGCGTCGTCAGGCAGGCCGAGTCAATATCAATTGGGCAGGTAGGTACAGGGGGAGCAAGCGGAGAATGGTCGGGGTCACAGGCCAGGTTCAGCAGGTAGCAAGCAGCGTAGTACAGAGGGTCAGGCAGAGGGATGGTCAGGGTCACAAGCCAGGGATCAGAACAGGTAGCAAGCAGCGTAGTACAGAGGGTCAGGCAGAGGGATGGTCAGGGTCACAAGCCAGGGATCAGAACAGGTAGCAAAGGAACAGAAACAGGATGCAGGACAGATACAGGGCCCAGGACAAACACAACACCAAGGCAGAGTCTGCAAGTCTGGCCATCCCTTAAATACACCAGTATCATCAGTTCCAGGTGTTAGCTGGCTGAAAGGTTGAGTCTCTGATTGCTGGGAGCACCCGCTGGCCAGCCCTGGTACTGCAGATCAAAAGGCAGGTGAGTCCCACCATTGCTGGCCAGTCCATTCCTGACAGTGTGTTGTGCGCTGTCCTTAGCAGAAGGAAAAATCCCATCTATAGTGTTTTCTGCAGATGTAAAGTGAGTGGGTGTGTAGATTGCGTCTCTTCGACAGCATGATGGGGGACAGATCACTGTATATTTGGATTTTTACCCCTTGGAAATAAATCAAAGTAGTATTGTGTGTGGAATTCAATAAAGACTCTTTACTGTCATAATAATGAAATCGGACAATAACATCCCAAGGCCTAGCACCCAATGGCGGTTTTGGAGCAAGGGAGCGATGAGCCCTATCCATATGCCAGTCTATGTCTTGTACTGCCAGTGCCAGAGCAATAAAGAGACTTTACAATTAATTGTGTACATCTGCTACCCCAAAAACTCAGGGACACCTCGTATTCTGAGGTTTTGCCACCTTTCTTGATTTTCTAGGTCTTCCTGAAAAGATTGTAACTGAGACATCTGTTGCTTTAAGTCATGATTGTCTTCCTCCAAAACTTGTATGTACTGAAGCAAGCCATCAAATTTGGATTCTATTTGATCAATACATGCTTCAACTTGCACTATCTCCCCTCTTTAATTCTTATGCAATTTTCCTCACAGCGGCCAATATAATATGCATCAGATTTAGAAGCAGATCTTGCAATCTATTATTCAGAATATCAGTTATGAGGTATGGAGCAAAGACAGTGAGAGAGGGAGCAGGAGAGACAGCATGGAGGTCCCCTCCAAAGCCCAACTGAGCCTCTGCAACTGCCATCTGGGGAGAGGGTTCACTAGAGGCCGGGGATGCGGCCCTTGACACATACCTCTCCATGTTTGAAGGGCCGCGTGTGCCATGCATGCGATTGGGGGTACTTATGCCTCCAATTTTCCCCATCAGGACTGGAACGTACTGCAGAGTGTGGGGGGTAATATTCCCCTGCAAGCAGAAGCTCATGGAAGCAACGGGTGAATCAGAGAAAGGAGCAGTGTCCCAGAGCCGGCGTTCTATGCGAAAAGCGCTATTCCCCTCCATGCACCAGAAATATATAATTTAAGTGACAACTTTGTGTGTAAAAAAAAAAAACTAAAATTGTTTTTGAAAAATGACAAAAAAAAAAAATCTTCCATGGACTCAACATGCCTCTCAGCAAATAGCTTAGGGTGTCTACTTTCTGAAAAAGGGTCATTTGGGTGTGCTTGTACTGCCCTGGCATTTTAGCACCTCAAGAAATGTGATAGGCAGTCAAAGTAAATTCCAGTAACTATACCATAGTTTGTTGATGCTATAACTTTCACATAAACCAAATAATATTCACTTATTGGGAATTTGTTTTTACCAAAGACATGTAGCAAAATACATTTTGGACTAAATTTATGATGAAATTTGAGTTTATTGGATATTTTTTAGAATAGAAATGAGAAAATATCGTTATGGTTTTTTTTTTTAAATTTTCGGTCTTTTTCATAGTGCAAAAAATAGAAAACCCAGAGGTGATCAAATACCACCAAAAAAAAGCTCTATTTGTGGGAAACAAATGACATAAGTAAACAACAGCGGCTATGTATGAGTTTGTACATGTCACCTGGCTAAACCCTGATGAAGTCACATGAACAGTGATGATACATGCGGAGAGAAGCCTAGGTGACATCGGAGCCAAGAAAAGAAGTGCGGCAGTATTCACAATATCCCAAAACCATTGATTTTAAAACTACGAGTCTAATATTTTTAAACAGTGAGTGTACTATTGACTCATAATCATAAAATATATTAAATATTGCACTATGGTTGCTCCTACTTGGCTCTGAGTTCATCCCACAGAGTGAATATAGAGGTACATTGACAGAGTGTGAGCAGGTGGAAGAGAGGAGATACCAGGACCACAGATAGACCACATATCATCCCCCAGAAGGTGGGAAAGCACCTCTGGACCTTTTTTAATTTATAGGTCATGATATGAAGGTCCATCCTTATTCACAGATGAGGTGGTGCACATGTGTAAACACGTGAAATCAGTGGCAGCGCATAACTAATATTCGTTTATTTTGTATGCGGATTATACCCGAATTTTTCAAAATTTAAATTTTCTGAACAATTAACAGGGATTTAGTCATTAGTCAGAACAAGGTCTTGTGTATATCCCGCAACTATATTACAGTCAACTGTTGAAAGATTTTCACAGCTTGCAGGAGGAATACAGTTTGCCCACCAAAAGTTTTCTTCCCAATACTTGCAGTTTTGGTACACTATTCAAATGCAGTCTAGAGTGACACCCTGGGTTTGTGTTACACCTAAAATCCTTCAAAAAGGATTCAAAGTTTAGCAGAAACCTCTAAGGGGGGACAAATAACAAAACTTTATAGTGCGCTGATACAGAAGATGTAAAAAAAAATGAAACTATTTAACTTCTTGCCGACCAGCCACTGTAGAAATACTGTGGCAGGTCGGCATGGCTGGGCAAAACCACATTTTAAAACGTGCGTTTGCAAAACAGGTAGGTGGCTCGTGAGGCGCGTGCCCGCCCTATCCGTCCCGCCAATCGCATCCGTCAATCGCCGGGTCACGGCGGGTCATTACGCAGTCTCTGGTCATCTCCTGTACCGTGTCCGCAGTCCCTGATCATCTCCTGTACCGTGTTCACAGTCTCTGGTCATCTCCTGTACCATGTCTGCAGTCTCTGATCATCTCCTGTACCATGTCTGCAGTCTCTGGTCATCTCCTGTACCTTGTCCGCAGTCTCTGGTCATCTCCTGTACCTTGCCCGCAGTCTCTGGTCATCTCCTGTACCTTGCCCGCAGTCTCTGGTCATCTCCTGTACCTTGCCCGCAGTCTCTGGTCATCTCCTGTACCTTGCCCGCAGTCTCTGGTCATCTCCTGTACCTTGCCCGCAGTCTCTGGTCATCTCCTGTAGTATGTCCGTAGTCTCTGGTCATCTCCTGTAGTATGTCTGCAGTCTCTGGTCATCTTCTGTAATACTACCAGTACTATCTCCTGTACTATGTCTGTACTATGTCTGCAGTCTCTGGTCATCTCCTGTAGTATGTCTGCAGTCTCTGGTCATCTTCTGTAATACTACCAGTACTATCTCCTGTACTATGTCTGTACTATGTCTGCAGTCTCTGGTCATCTCCTGTAGTATGTCCGCAGTCTCTGGTCATTTGCTGTAGTACATCCGCAGTCTCTAGCCATTTCTTGTACTATGTCTGCAGTCCATTGGTTCAGAATATATTTTTTCTTGTTTTATGGAGCAAAAAATACGGTATATGATCACTAGATGGCACAAACAAAACATATGGTGTACAAACAAACATGTAACATGTGGATCAATTATAGTGCTGAGAGAATGAGGGCAAAAAAGTCACCAAGAGACAGACGGGAGGGGCACTGGAACCCCCCCATACAACTCCACCCTAAAAGACTGTCAGCTTGCCTCCCAAAAAGACACATCCATAAAAAATATTTAGAGAACTGTGCTCATTTCCTCATTTAGTCCACCAGGGGCTAGAGTGTCCAAGGTATAGAAACAAAATGTCTCTCTTTCACAGAGACGTTTAAAACGTTCTGCTGTTGGTAGGTCATGGGATATGGCTTCAATGACCCAGACCATCAGACCCTGAGAGGATTTTTGGTGAAATTCCAGGAAGTGCCTGGGGATACTGCATTTGTGGATGCCATCCTCGACAAAATGACGGTGTTCCCCAAAGCTCTTCCTGAGTGTCCGGATAGTTTGGCCCACGTACAGCAAGCCACATGGACAAGAAAGACAGCAGAAAACATATTCAGATGAACAAGTGTAAAACTCAGAAGTGGGGTAAGTTTTACCCTAGTCTCTATGTCCATCTCAGACATGCTTGCACGTGAGACACCTGGGTTTACAGCACTGACACATGCCTTTTATGATAGAGAAGGTTAGAGAAACACCTATCTTGGCCTGAATACCTTTGACCTTACTTTGGTCTACCTTACGTTTAATATTTCAGGACCATCTATAGGAAACTTTTGTTTTGACTGTAAGTGAGGATTTTATATGGGGATCCTCAAGCAGTATGGACCAGTGTTTTTGTAATATATGTTCCATATTTCTGAACTGCGTATGGAACTGGGTAGTAAACCTGAGAGGTTGTGGACTATAAGTGGGTGTCTTGCTTCTATCTACTTTGGCTGCATCAGTTGCCCATGGTAACTCTTTAAAAGACAAATTCTTGAATAAAAGTTACCCCAGCACACTTATGGAGGAGGTCTTTGTCAAGGTCCTACCTTTTCCCTGAGGTTATGTTACTCCATGTGCTGGTGTCCATCTTGGATTCTGCTGTGCATGATGGAATCCTTTTATGCCTTCAGGTATCTGTGGTCCATCCCCCAGAGGGGTGTGGCTGATGACATATAAGCCTGTGGCCCGCACATGCTCTTTGCACTTGTGTCTTGTGTCTTTGTGTTGCTATTACTCTGTTCTGACTCTCGTGACTCTCCTGATATCTGATTCGGCTTGTGACTTGACTATTCTTTGTATTCTCCCTTGATCTGACCCTCTGTTGCTGAACCCGGCTCGTGACCTGTGATTTCTCGTCTGCTGTCCTGTACTGTTTTGTCCTGTTGTTGCTGAACCGGCTTGTCTGACTACTCTTTTGTCTCTTCCACCAGCTACACGCCATTGGCGGCGGCCATTACCGCAGCTGAGGTGCCTCGGGGGCCGCGACCTGGTTTCTGGCTGCGTCAAGTCCATCCCCACCATCAGGGGCCTGGTGAAGGGCAGCCTGGGACTTAGACTCCGCGCCCTGAGGTACTTCGGTCTGTGGGTGGTGGTTGTCGTCAGCCAGTGCGTTACATTGTTAGGCCTGCCTGTCCGTTCCTCGGCCCCCTGCCCTGACAGTCTTCTCCCTTTATCTCACTGATGGAGCCAAAGTAGGTAGAAGCAAGACACCCACTTGTGCTACACAACCTCCCAGGTTCTTGCCTTTTGGCTAAGGTCAGTGTACTTGTGCCTGACCTTAGTCATAGGTAATAACTGGTGCCAGTCCCTCTCGGCCTTTGTTTCCTTTGGGTGCACCCCATGTGCTATTGGGAGGGACACCACTGGGAGTGTACAAGAGTGATCGCCCTTCCCTATTTTCCCTTGTGGTTGACGATGGGATTAATGGGCATAGGTGATGGCGGCAGGAGCTCCAGGTGTGCCAAATACATTGAGGCTGGTCAAGGCAAAGAAATGTAGGATTGTTCTTCATTCAGAAGGAGTTGATTGGGGACTTTCTGGGCATGGCGATAAAGAACCTTTTCTGTGTGCAAGCAAGGTCAAGACCACTGGACTGTATAACATTACTTTGTGGAAAAGGAAAGACTTGCAAACATGTTTGCTGTGGAAGGGTGAAAAAGAAAGAGAGCAGGTTTTGCAGGCAGGGGATCACATTCCTGTCTAGTGAGCAAATGCAGGTACCTCTGACTGTACATACAGTATGTTTAACCCATTTTCATGGGATGAAGAGACTTGGGCTTTTTGCTGGATTATTGTGAATCTGTTTCTTATGAAGCTGACAAATGTCCTGGGAACCTTTAACTGTTCCAGACGTTCTGGTTCATGTTTATGGCGAGCCCGGGGAAGCAGATGGCGTACAACCTCCCCCTCAAGCTTACTCAATTGGGAGCAATCGGGGCAACCATTGTTCTGTAGGTAGTGTAGTGTTTTTCTTTTGGCCACATGAAAGACCAATGCAAAAATGGGCAGGTGTGCCGGAATTGTTATAAATCCAGCCAAGGGCTGGTGAGTGTCTGGTTGGTAAGAGCTGCAATATCTGTGGAAATGGGCTGCATCTGACAAAACAGTGTCCAAAAGGTATCGGAGGCCAGATCAAAGGACAAATCTTCAAGAGAGGTTGAAGGTGAGAAGGGCGCAGGAAATAAGACACTGCCATATGCTGATGTGGCTAGGGGGCTGCCCCAGTAACTCCAATGAAGGAGCCATGAGGCTACCTGAGGATGGGATAGTACGTGAAACATCTGGCTTGTCTGCTGAGGGTGTGTCAGATCCCTCCCCTGTTGATGCAGATGGGGAGAAAGGTGCTTCTGCTCTGGTGGAGGAGGATGTCCCTGGACACCTGACGGCTGAGGGGGATATGGTGGAGGATAAATTGGAAGAAGTGGTGGGAGGAGATGGAGGTGGTGCAGCCCTCCTTGAAGCAAAAAATGGAGGTTGCAAACCCTATCCCTCCCTCTCAGGATATAGGTGGCTTTTCGGACAGCACAGTGTCGCAGGAGTCAGAGGTGGTGATTGATTCAGACTCCTCGCAGGCCACCTCCTATGTGAGCACTGGTCAGGTAGCAAACCTGCAGAACATTATGGGCTACAGTAGACCCGAACTGAAGGAGAAAGTAAGAAAGGCGGAGGAGGCATAATCTAGTATGACCGGTGTTAGGCCAGAGGAGGGACCCAGGACAAGGAGCGCAAAGGCCAGGGGGAAGGCTAAGAGGGATAAATGACAGGAATGTGATCCCCTTATTTTAATCCTTTAAATGCAATTAATAGTCTCCTCTCTTAACGTCAAGAGTATAAGATCAGCATATAGAAGGCAACAATTGTTAAGATTTTGTCTGGTTATGCTTTTGACGTTTTTTGTTTGCAGGAGTGCAACTTGAGGGAGGAGCCATCGACTGCAAGATGGACCCATGAAGAGGCGATATGGTCCTTGGACCAAAACAAAAGCAGTGGAGTGGGGATCCTGTTTAAAAATCGTAGGATTTTAGGATGTTAAGAAAGGTGGAGTTGGGGAGGTGGGGTTGTGTGTCTTTTGGTGGTTTGTGAGTATGGAGGTGTTGTGTGTTGTTGTTTTGTATGTATGCACATGTAAGTTGTTTTGTGTGTATGCACCTACAGATAAGAAAGGGAGGGTGGAATTATTTTGTAAAATTAAAATTATTTTGGGGCGGAAGGGATCCTACTATTTATTTGGGTAACTTTAATTGTATTTTGCATGGGGGAAATAGGTGTGGGGGTGGAGGTGGTATTGGTGATGGTGGTTTGGATAAATCAGGGAAGGAGTTGGGTGAAATATTACAGATATTTGGGTTAAAGGATGTGGGGGAGGATGGTAGAGGCACATATTTTTGTAATGGGGTGGTCTGCAATCCAGAATTGTTTTCTGCTTTTTGCCTAAAAATGTAGAGAGGATCTTATGCAATCTGAAGAGAGCCTTTCAAGAACCGTGGCAGAATTGAGTGTACTAGGAGTATGAAATCAGAGGTAACGTATGGAAAGGAGGTATGGAAGTTGAACGTGGAATTGTTGGAGGATGAAGGAATTCACAATGAGTATGTTTTGTTGTGTGAGAAGCTAAAAGCGAAGAGGAACGATTTTAAGAGTGTGATTTTAAAAGTGTGATTGAGTGGTGGGAGTGGATGAAAGTGAGGACTAAAGTGTTTTTCATTAAAAAGGGTGTGTGAACTAGCAAAGAAGGAACAGGAGATGTATGAATGGTGGCAGAAGATGCTGAGGTACTTGAGAGAATGGGGAGAGAATGTTAGAAATTAGCTGGTGGAAGCAAGGGAGAAATTGAGGGTGTTTCTGGAACGGAAGGGGAGAGAGATTATGTCACAAGCAAGAATGGTGGTGAAGGAGAAGGATGAAAAATTTTTCTTTAAAAAAGTTTATGGTGGAAAAGTAGAGATATCTGGGGTGGGATGAAAGGGAGTGTGAGATGAATGGGAATAAGAGGATGTGTGAAGAAGAAGTGTGGAGGTGATATGCTAATATGCGTCTACTGAGAAAGAAAGGGATGAAAGAATTGAAAATGAAGTGTTAAAGGTGGTGAAGGAATGTCTGGGTATAGGAGATAAGGAGATGTTAGGTGAAAATGTGAGAAAAAAGGAGGTGGATGAGTGTATAAAAAGGTATCAAGAAGGGGAAGACACCTGAAAGTGATGGTTTGCCATTTGAATTCTATTGCAAGTTTTGGAATGTGATCAGAGATTGTGTTTGAGGTGGTTTAAAGAGTGTTAGAGGAAGGAGGAGTGTCGGGATCAATGGTAGAGAGTGTTATTGTCTAGTTGTATAAAAAAGGGGATAGGAGGGATTTGAAAAAACTGGAGACCGATATCTCTGTTGAACATAGATTATAAGATTGTGGCAAAATTATTGCCGAATAGGGTACGTTTGGTGGTGGAAAAATTGTTTGGGGAAGACAAGGTGCCTGCGGTGCCTGGAAGATCGATTGTTGAGAGTCT